CTTTCCATAGAGTTTCCCTCGGTGTTCATCTTCTTCCAGGTTTACAAAGAGATACACAAAGCGAGCCCGGCTGTTCCGGTCCCCGCGCGGGAAACGTTCCAACATCGAGTTTCAAAGGCCGAGGAAGATAAAAAAAAAAAAAATCTGGGGAGAAAAAAAATCTCGACGAGGAATTCGCGGCGCGAAATTCGGGATGACTCGGCGAATATTCCCATCGCAAACACGAATGATCACGCTCGAAAAAGACGATGCGAAAACGTGCGAAGTCATTTTCGATTCGCTTTTCGTCGCGGTTCTTTTCTCCGCGACTTTTCCCCGGCGGTGGGAAAAATTTCCCCCCGATTTCCCCGGTCTCTCCGATCTTCCTTCGTGCCCGGGCCGACCGTCGGAAACATCAAATTCTCGAAACGACCGCGATTTGTTGATCGTGGAAATCCCCGTCTCCCGACCCAACCCACGGAGTGGGACTTGATGGCTTCATTCCGATTCCTCTCGCGTCCCTCGTTATATAAATTATGCCATCATCATTGTGGCTTTTTCTCAGTCGAATGCGGTAGCAAGGAAGCGAAAAGCGACAAAAGGAAAGCGAAACGTGTCGCTGTGATGGACGTCGGATTTAAATCGCGCGATCGACATTCGGAAAGCGAAATGCGACGGCGGAATCGATCTCGGCCGTGCCAGGAGGCATGTGCCCTCTCGTCGCGTTTCCGTTTCGATTTTCCGTCGCGCGTTTCCGTCCGCGGCTTCGCGTGCGAATTCGTCGATGCATTTGCGCGTGACGTCACCATTGCGTTCATCGTGGCGGCGGCGTTTTTCGCGTCGGCTACTTGGTTTCGGTCGGTTTCTTGGACCATAAAATAAAGACGTAAGCGGCCGTGTCGTCGTGAAATGGGCTCCCGCGTTTCATTACCTCGTCGAATATGCTATCCTTTCAAGTCCAGCATCCGGAACGTCTCGTTCGATTTTCCCCCCGACCTGGTGAGATGAGACGACGAGACGACGAGTCCTTTGACTCCCGTCCGCGACGGTCTCGCATTCCAATTCCATGCCGCATTTAACTTAATTTGCTGCGTCTTGGGGCCGGGTGCACGCGCGACGATAGTTTTCGTCCTCCATGATATAAAAGCAAACAATGCCGGTTCAATAAATCCAAAAGTAAATGCAATTAGGAAAATGAAAAAAATGAAACCTCGTGTCACGGAAATGCGACGAGAAGGCATCTCGCTCGGTCCCACGACTGTCGCATTTCGCTTTCCCCTTCGTGTCGACCGTGCGACTAAAAAAAATGCGACATCCGGCACGGCGACACGTTTCGCTCTCCTCGCTGCACGTCGCTTTCTCACCCCCACGCGTTTCGACGGAGAAAAGTGACACAAATCGCACGGCTCGACTCTCCGGCTGGATCATCTGCGATGGCTTCGCTCGATGCGATGGCTTCGCTCGATGCGATCTCTTCGCTCGATGCGATGGCTTCGGCTCTTCCAGATTGGGGATTTCGCCGTTGCCTCCCGATGAGGTCGACTTAAAAAAATGGCCATGTTTCTTGACTCGTTTTTTATTATTAGCTGTTCGATATGAACATGTCTACGTGCGAGGGTGAAATGGAAATTCCTTATTCCTCATTTCTGCGCATCGGCCTATTACGGGTAATCAACATAAGAAGAACAATAAGAATAACGAAAATAAGGACGCAGAAAAGTAAGGAAGACTCCTTTTGTAGCATGTACGTGGACACATCGAAAAGCTCCAGAAACGGGTTTCATACGAGGAACGTGCAGATGTGATGTTTCCCCTGATCCCCTTCGAAATACAGGGTTGACGGAAAAAGTAAGCCACTTGAAAATTCCCCATGGAATTCCACGCTGATCCTTGGATCAGCGTGGTGATCGCTGGCTTGAAACTTGAATGAAACGTTCCCTTATGTATTCTCCTAGAGCTTTTGAAATTTCACGAACTTATAAGTATAAGTATGATAAGTATAACTTATAAGTATAAGTTCGCAAGGCACGAGATTGAAGGAGTGCGAAGGATCCGGAAGCGATGTCGCTCCACGATCGGTCAGAAATTCCATGGTTGCAGCGAGGGATCGATCGCCGGAGGGTCGCCGCAGACGAGCTCAAAGGCTCCTCGTTACGGCTCTTCGGAAGCCGTCCGCTGCGTTCGCCATCGAACGACGGATCGAGATCCGTCGGAGGTTAACGACGATGACGAATGGATATTCGCGACGACGTCGCGAATATTCAAAGACTTGCTTCTTCTGGAAAAAAAAAAAGTTCATGGCGTCTGGGATTTCAAAGGCTTCCGTTTGCTTAATTTTTTTTTTTTTTTTGCGCGGTGACTGCGGGCCGGATTTCATCCCGGACGGAATCGGAAGTCGTTCGACGAAAGGAATTTCTTTCGAGTTCTTCAGCCGACTCCATCGTCATTTCCTCGTAGAAAAAATTGCCGGGTGCTCACAGAGTCATTCAGTGATTTCAAGAGTTTGCCGACCTCGTGTCTCCGATCGTAATGTTAAATATTAACACGAATTACGTTCGGAACAGATGCAAGTTTCGTTTCCGTTTGTTTACGAGCGAGCACTGAACCATGCAAGTAGAACGGATCCGAGTGGCCGAATGCGATCGGCCGACGACGGCCGGACGAGAGATTCCGACGGGTGTGCGTGCGGACGACCGAAAATCTCGACGGGGACTTCGATACGCTTCGGGCGACAGGGTCTTATTCGACGTGTTTCAGGCAACAGGGTCTTATTCGACTCGTTCCAAGCAATTGGGTCATTTCGCACTCGATGATGGCCGACGTGGTTCGGCATTCTCGCGCTACAAACGAAACCCGCACGCATCCCGTGCCACGATATTTAAAACGTCCGTTTCACGGTCGGACTGACGACCGGTCGGACTGACGACCGGTCGAACCGAGAGAGCGAGTTCGCACGCCCGAAGAGACGAGGCGACTCGACGGCGCGGAAACTCTTCCGGTCCGATCGTCGCCGCGACTCCGTCAATATTGAGACAGCACTCGATTTTAATGGAGAGCGAGTTCCATCCATTGTTATAGACTCGGCTATAAATACACGCGGCTTATCGAGTTTCGTACCTGCTGCATGATATTGCTCACGGAATGTGTTCCGAACTCGTTCTAAGAAAATTCGGCGTCGTGCAAAAGGAAAATCGAGACTTTCCTTCGTGAGATCGAGATTCGATTTCCGATAGGATTTGGATTCCTGCGGGAGTGATCCGAGTCGTGCATCGAGCTTTTGATTATTCCGATTGATTCGGATTAACCGGAAAGGAATCCGGATGACTTTCCAATCTTATTCGGAATCTCTCAATTCTAGATATTTTGAATATCAATCGCGTGCAATCAGCAACATATGTCCAGTGATTCAATATGCATTAATATACATAAATATAAATATGCAAATACTTCGTTTTTAAATTGAAATGAAATTGGAAGAGACAATCCAGCGATCCGAGTCCGATTCCGGCAATTCCTCGACTCGACTCGAGACTCAAGGTTCCTCGACTCGACTCGACTCGAGATTCGGGCCTGGGACGATCGATTCCAGATTAACTCATTGCGAGGGTTTTTATGGTGGAATCTTTCACGACTCCGACCCGAACGACGTGGTAACCTTGTGTCAACATCGAGAAAGGATCCATTTTTCGTCGTAGCAGTGTTGTCTAAGAGGTCGTTTCGACGATGCAACAATGTCGAAATGGCGCACATTTTAACGCTAAAAATACGCTCATGAATCGCATTGTCGGCTTCAAGTTGTTAACTTCGATATAAAATTAGGATTTCGCACGATCCCGATCTCCTGCCCTGCGTCCTCCCCCGATCCCGATCTCCTGCCCTGCGTCCTCCCCCGATCCCGATCTCCTGCCCTGCGTCATGCCCCGATCCTTTCCCCTGCGGCTTCGTTCCATGCGCTCCAGCGAGTGGCTACCTTCCTCCTTTGCAAGGCCGTAACTTCCTTTACCGGATCTCAACTCTCGATGATTTCTCGAATCGCACGTCTGCTTCTTTTCATAGAGGAGTTGCGCGTCAACGTCACGTGGGTAATCTCTCTCGTCGCCCTCAGATCCACTCTTTCTCCTGGAGAAGAGTCAGACGCAACCTTACGGGCACTTCTCAACGTAGGATCCCGGTGACGGAAGAATCGTCCGGGCTGTCGCACCAGTCGCATGACACTGCACAACGTCGGCGCGATAAACAAATCCGACCGCATAAAACCCGGAAACGTATGGAAGCCTGAAGGAGCAGTTTAGGCGAGTGGGGCAGGTGGGGCAGGTGGGGCAAGTAGGGCAGGTGGGGCAGCACCTGACCGAGCAGATTCCTTCGTCGTGTCGGCGTTGCGTCCGGCGTCACGCGATCGTAATTCTTCGTCACCGGGTTCGATGTTTGGATATACCGAAGGGAAAAGTATGGGCGGAAGAATGAGTATTGCGTGGGGAATTCAAGGGGGTATCTCAAGAGTGTCAGTATAGAGTCCATGCCGTTATTGTGACGTTTTCAACGACTTGTACCAGCCCCAATATAATGCTCGATCATCTCCAAGGGAGATGCGAGTCTATTCCAATTGAAGCGCCCTGGAGTGAAGTGGGGAAAAAAAACGGGTATTGAATCAAATATACCGGAGACTCATTCCGGATTGAATCGGTGGGGAGGCGTCATTTAGCTTCAATTGAAACAGCCTATTTTCGGTGAATTATGAAAACGCTGCAATTCATTGCCATCGACTCCTCGTTTATAAAGTGAACCTTGCCTCAGCAATCCGGCCTCATCGGGCCGACTGGGGATGAATGGGTCTTATCGTTCGCAAAGAGGTTTAGAAAACTGGAATGCCAGTCGGAACTTTAGCTGGACGGGAAAGAAAAATAACATTCTCGAACAAAAACTATCAATAGTTGATCGTTCCATCAAAATTAAAAAATCGACTTGCAGATTTTTAAACGGAGACAAAATATGGCATACCGCGTGCCAAAAGGGAAATGTTAATGCGAGTGAAAATATTCGGATGCAAGAGGCAGGAACCGGCACCCCACAGCGCGTGTTCCTTCGCGGGTTGGCTCTCGCGACGGACGTCGAAAGAAATTCCGCCTCGGAAGACGTTTTGCAGGACTTTTGCAGGACTCTTGCCTTGCCGCACGAGTGATTCAGGAGAAGAGATTCAAAGAAGCGCGATGGACGACAAGGAGAACGACGAAACACCGGCCAAAGGGTAGAACAAAAGGAAAAGCTTTGAATGAAGCGAACGTTAAGGGAACGCAGAGACTCGTTGGTGTGTCTCTCGCACTTGAAGGGAGTCCCACGTGAAGGACAGATCGCGTTGTGCCAGAACGCCGCGTCTTCTGGTCCCTGGTAGGGGGAAGCGGGGTTGAAGGGAGAGGGGTAAAGGGGGGAGAGGGGGAAGCGGGGTTTGGGGGAGAGGGGGGGGGGAGGGTGGGAAGGGGAATATCAAACAGTTTCCAAACCCGTTCTGCGAGACTTTGCCTGGTGCCTGCCTACAGTAAATTATCTCGTATGCAACTGATATACCAGCTGCATTTCTGTGCAGTTCTGCGTAGCGAACTCTGCAGTTAACGTTGCACGGAACCTCTGATCCTGGGTTACATGTTGGCTAATCGTCTCTTTTCAGTTTCCGTCCGACACACATCGAGTGAAGACTCGGTGCGGAACTCACTTTTTCAGGAAAGCGAAAATCTCATCCAGAAAAAAACGTCGGCTGTTACTGTTCTCGTCTGATTCTAGTCTGATGTCGATAGAAGCATAGCATTTTCCTGATGCCTTCATTGTGGAACACGAGGCGATGAGACGGAAAACCTTTTTTTTTTATTAATAGCCAGGCATGAATATATGAATAACAGCTTTATTCATGCGGAGCCTGCCTGTTCTCTCTTCACGTGCATTTAATTAGTGCAGCACTCCAAAACTCATTTTACAGAGCCACCCCAGATTTTCCTTCTTCGAGATTCCACGACCCATAAAAAAAAAAGTTGTCGATCGATAGAAAAAAAACACAGACGAAAATAACACCACGTCTGACAAAGCTAAGGGCCGATTGCACGAACGATGTTCATTTTAGACATTAATTATCGATAGTCATTGTTTAAACATCGCCTACGAAAACATCGGCTAAAACGCTGTCGACTTTCGATCGCGCGAACGATCCCCAAAGCCATGTTTTCATAGTGAGACAATGGCTAAGTATGTCATACAGGCAGAGCATAAAATTCAGGTAAGAAATACTATATCTAGGCATTCTATGGAATGCTTCATTCCATACTCTGCCTGTAACTGTATGGCATGTTCTGACTTCTTGGTTGTCGCGTCATACGATTCGGACTCAGCAAAATAAGGTCAATCGAGTGATAAAGGAGAACCTTTCCTTCGACGAAAGATTACATCTCGCAGAACTCGTAAAGGAAAATCTCACAATAGAGAGAGAGAGAGAGAGAGAGAGAAAGTCGTGCCTGGAGACTGGTGAGTTCCCTCGTTGATCATACTCTGTATGTCCTTTAGATGTCCTTTATCGGGGGTGACGCCAGGGATTCGTTTTGCACGCGCAGAGGAGTCGGAAATGGGAAAAAAGTGCATTATTTGTGCATAATGAGGATATCCGAGAATCGTGTGCGGATCCCGGTCACATAATGACCGCGTCAATAAAAATCCCTTTCGCATCACACACTGCTCGGACGTTGATGGAATAGAATATTGATGGGATAGAAGCCTTTGCGGTCGACAAAAGTGGATTGGGTATTCCATCCGAGTGAGAAAGTCGTCGATGGCACCGATCGTTCCTGGAGATCCAGCAATGTCAAGGAATCGTCTTCGAACATCTAGTCCATTTCTCCTGGGAATGTAACGAGTCGCAAATGCACGATGGCCTGCGCCACTCGATTGATAATTCGAGAAGCAGTGGAAACGTGGGCTCTAGGAATCGGCGCCACGTAAAATCGAGGGGTCAGCAGAACCTGCTAATCGAATGGCTTTCATGGCATTCTTTTCACTTTCGGGTCGTATTAATTAATTACTCGGGGGGACGGACGAGTACGTGAATAAATCAGGAATCATTGCACACGAACCGTAACTGCTCTCATCTGTTGACGTAAAGTCAAGGGGGATCCCTTCCGCGAATTTCGTTCGGGGCGAAGCAGGTCGGCGATCACCCAACTCTTTCCAAATCGGTATCTCGCGCGGAAGTTCTCATCGACATTTTCCTTGAAGGGGATCGAGCCTAGGACCGATGTGTATATGTCCCATGCGACGACGAGCACATCGCTGGTATCGAGCCGATGAGCCACCCCATAAAGGTAATCCATCGTGCTTCACCAGGAAACAGCATCGCGATGGTGATCAAGATAATGCACGAGCGTTGGTATAAATATAGCGCAAAACATAACCTTGTCTGGAAATGACACCTTTTTCAACTTCTGTTAGCCATTGGTTAGACAATGATTAAAGGAAGAAAGCGTTCATATGATCCATTTTTGGCCTTAGACATCGGTCAACCAACGACTTTCGAAAAAGACCGGGCAAACCTCGTCCTCGTGATTTATTTTTCCTCGCGTCCTCGGCCCCAGCCGAAGTGCCACGCGATTCGCGACCCACCGGTTAAGGATCGCTCGATCCCTGTCGCACGATGCGACAATCGCTTTTTTTTCCTACTTTCCGGTTTGACTTTCGAGTGTCGCGAAGGAATCAATTTCCCAAGACTTTCTTTCCCTTTTCAGGAACGAGAAGGAAGAATTGGAGGAGATCCTGCGCAAGAAATCCGAGGAATGCCATCGGGAGATCGCCGCCTATCGTCAATCCTACCGAGGTACCCCCCCCCCCCCCTAAAAAAAAACCCAATCGGATCTCAAGGCCTTAATAGAAATATTACGTTTACGGAAAACAAATAACGTAGGCGCGGAAGGTTTCGTTATGAAAGGTAACCCCCCGCCGCCCCGGTCCCCAATCAACAAGATTGTTTTTCTCTCGCTCTTCTCCCTTCATATTGCCTTCCCCGCCTGGTGCCTTAATGCATGTCACTCGATCGCGGTCGCGAGTGTATATCGAACCTGCAATTTGTCGCCTCTTCCGTCGAGCCGTCTCTCGTTTAGGAGCTCTGATTGTTTTTGTAGTGGGACTCGCGGTGAGGGTTTTCAAAGGCCGTGCCGCCGCCGTGTTCGACGGTCGTCGGCGAGAGACCGGAACGGAGAGTGCGAAATCAAATATCGCGGTTTCGAGCGCTTCGCCGACGGCAGAATTTTCGATCCCAGAAAGCAACGATGGTCTTTCCTGCTCGAGTCGAGGCGCTACGCATTGTTCTCAGCATTATGTAATAAATAAAAAAAAAAACAATTCCCGCGCTCTTCTTGAGTGGATCGCAAGCCTTTTCCCCTCTGTCTCCATCACTCAGTTTTCCATCCCGAGATCATGACGGATTTCGTGTCGTTGGAAAGCTCTCTTCGCCTTTCCCATTCCAGTATACAGTACATGAAGACTATTGCTGGAGTCTCGACAGGGTGATGAAGGGAAGATCGATGGTTCTATCCAGCCGGCTGCTTTTCCACCGCTCTATTTTTCTCCAATGGCGTTATCGTGACTTGATATCAGCGTAACGCGGGGGAAGTGGGATCAGGTACAGTGTTGTTCCAGAAATTCAATAGTCCCCCCCCCCCTCCCCCCACACCTTTCTTTTCCAAAGAAAACGTTTTTGCATCGAGATAAGAACTCTCGGGAGCGCAACGAGGCGATCAGCTGTCAAGGTCGTTCGAATGTGGAAAATTTATAACGCTGTTGGTCCAAGGCTTTCATCACGCTCAGTGAGCGATGTGCAGCGGATATCTAAACATTTCAATCTCGCAACGACGAATTTCAAATTCCGAGCATTCCGCTCGTCCGTAAATTTTAGGAGGCGACGCAAAGATTATTCTCACTCGCCCTTTAACTGCTCCCTCGGAGTACTAAAAGTGTATTCTCAGACTCTGTTTATTATGTCGTACTTTCGGTGCTTCATTTACTTGAAAATTAACACATCGTGAGAATCTCAAGTGGGAACTAACGAGCGTGCATATTTGCAGCCGCCACGACCCGGCAACCTACTCCACTCTCCGACGTGAGATGGGAAGAAATCCTGTCCCTGGATTATCGGGAGAGCGAATACGTTTCAAGAGAGAAAAAAACTTCCATTCGGCTGAATCCCCTCGAGCAGGATTCCCTTTTAATAACCTTTCTATTGGATCTGAGCGAATATAATGCTTCCGGATGGGAAGGCCGCCTGACTTGCCGAATCATCCGACTTTGCTCTCCATTGTCCCGTTGGTCTGAGTGATGCCTTTATATCAGCCGTCGAAGGGGGGGGGGGGAAGGGAAGGCCGGCAGCTCCAATTTATGTCAAAAGTGAATCATGAGACGCAGGAGAAAACGCGCATAATTAGTTTATCTTTTCCTTATCGTTCAGACTTCACCCAGTAACGAGATGACAAATGGCAAAAAGGCAGTATCTCCTCTCAGATGGCTTAAGTTGTGAGAGCAAGGGGCAAAACGAAAGAAACAAGGCTGGAGCCAAATGGAGTCGTGCCTTTTTGTCTCTTGCAGAGATTTTTTTTAAATAGAAATTTAGCCGCTGACATGGGTTGAACGACCTCTTAGTCTGAAAATGTGCTATCTCGGCGTTCTATTGCATTTGAAAGCTGCCCATTTGTTCGTGGAATCTGAGATACTCGGCGCCGCTAAAACGTCCAGGGGCCGTATTCTATTGCGTTCTTAAGTGGGATTTTCCTCTTAGCAAGTTGCTTAGCTGGTATTTGCCCCATTCAAATGCATGGCCGAGGTTGAGCGATTTGCTTTAACTAAGTTTAAGATTTTAATAGAATACGGCCCCAGGTCTGTCTCTCAATCTTCGTGGATCGGCGGATCCCCGCAGACATCATTTTCAAACCGGGGTGCAGCATCTCGCCCTTAATCTGATGAAACCTCAATAATTCCGTCTTTCTCCGATTCTCTATCTGATGGAGATATTCAGGCTTACTCTCATCTTCCCGATTTTCACTCACAAAAGCCGATCGTGCGTCTTGGGTAGGTTAATTAATGTGCACCCCACCCCTCTTGAGTCATGCAATACAGTCGGCGTAGAACCGAAGGCAAGCCGTCGTATGAGGAAAGGCTTCACCTGACGACGTGCAGGCCATTTCCTCTAAGAGGGCTGGTCATGTTTCAGGAAGAAGTCTGAAGAAAAATATTCGAATTTGAAATCATCATGAAAGATATTATCATAGACCTGCATAATTATTTGCTGGACGACCTCCGTTTCCAACGACCGTTTCCTTGAAGCTGATCTAAAGAATACCTGCTTCCACATCCTCCATTCGTCCCTGGTCGCCATATCATCATGAGATGACTCCATAACATAATTTCCTGCGTATTTTTTTTTGGCGGCGTTCTATCTCAAAATAATCCCAGATGCTCGACAAAAAATCCATCCACCTTGCACGATCACCCATCCCTTGTAATTGACACTACAGAGCATGCTCTTCTCCATGCTCTCCTCCGTGCTCTCCTCCATGCTCTCCTCCATGCTCCCCTCCAAGCTCCCCTCCAAGCTCTCCCAATGCTTTCCAAATCTTCCTTATTGTAATGGGTAAGGAAGAGGAGTACATATACATGAAAGTGTCATCTACTGTCTATACTATATTTCTGAATGTGTGTTTGTCTATCTGTCCTTTATGCACAGCCACGCCTCTGATCCCAGTCCGACCAAACTTTGCATGGCTTCCTCATTCCGTCCGGGGATGGTCATAGGCTTAGTGGCGTTTCAAAATTCGAACCCCATGGGGTACCTTGTTTAGTACTTATTTGGCTGATTCACTACTACAGACCCCCCAAAGGAGACAACATTTTGGGGAGTCAGTAGAAAGTTGCAGAGGGACTAAATATTTTACTAAATAAATTTTCCGTTGCACCTCGCAGCGCAGCGCAGTTTGTTTGCTCGGAGCGCAAACAAACTCGCTAGTTAGTATATAAGAGGAGAAAGAGAGAAGGAAGAGACATTCACATATAAATAACAGGTCCTCGAAGTACCTCAGTAATTCGACAATGGGATTACCCAGATTCTATTATACTTTAAATTATGCACTTTGAAGTTTTACACATGAGTGTCTCATGCAAACTATTATAATGCTCATAAGTGCGAAATTCGCAAGGCTCGTATTCAAAATAGCATTTTGATTTGCTTGTTGAATATACGACTGGTTGTTATATTCATTGAGAGTGTACTCAAGAGTACGAGGAGATTTTATAGCACATTTCGGATGAAAGCTGAAGGCCGATCGAAGGACTCAGGCCCGAATGCGCAAACATCATTGGGGGGGGGGGGGGGGGGGGAAACG